ATTATAATTTTCATTAAAATAAAGTATATTTATAATGCAATGCCTTTATCACTGCTTAAATACTATGAAATATGTTGCGTGCCTTATTCTGTGTAAGAAGCCACGTCATCTCACAGAAGGATTTATTTCAAACACTCGACTGACGTTATGAAGTGAGTTTGGAGTAAAAATATGTTATTAAATGTGGTATTTTCACATGCTTTCAGACGGAGCAGCATTTACTACACAGAGCCGTAGTTCACCGAGAAGCTACGCAAACAGCTGTCATTATCGCAAACGATTTCTTCGATTTCATAATCGCGATTTTTTTTGCATAACTTGTCAGTGAACTACGGCTATGTGTAGTAAATGCTGCTCCATCTGAAAGCACGTGATGATGATTTCCTGCTGATTACAGAACCGGCTTTTTTAACAAAATGCGCATGACAATCGCATTCGATACGCTACGTGTATAAAAAAATTCGTTTTTTAGGGGGAAAAACAAGTCGCGTATAAGTCGCATTTTTTATTTCATTTAGAAATAGTTCTAATGCCGACACGAAATGTTTACAAACATTATAATAAACACTGTAAACATAGCTAGGCTATTTTAGTTGCCCTCACTCGCGTTCCAATATCCACGTAAAACAAAATGTTTTGCATAACATCGCGACGGTACTGTGATAACACTTAACGGCACAGATTTTACTAAATTATTTTTTTTTTCCATATGTTTGACTGACTGTATTTTATTATGATAATGAACGGGCTGCATTGTCAAGGTAGCAAAGCTTAACTGTGTGTGCGTATGCGGCGCTGGTGCAATCACCAAAAAATTGTTTTCCTTCTAACAGTGGAAGAAACTACTCCTTTTAGTCCTAAAGATAATCGGAATTGTAAAAGGTTTGCCTTCATTTGTGTACATTCACAATAAAAACAAATCTTTGTGCTTTTGTAAAATAAGCCTAAAGAAAAATAGGACGTCGCTTTCTGCCGTCTGTTTCCTTTTCGCGCAGCACAAAAATGAACTGAAGCTCTGTATATAGGCTACGCGACTTGTTGCACAGTTTTTCTTTCATTTTCTTAATTTATTATTTAAGTAAAAATATGTTTCTCGTATAGGCCTATTTATTCGTTATATAGGCTATAGGCTACCGCTCGCAGAAGCGCTGCAGGTGCGTATATGATGAATCCTCATGTTCTGTTGTTTGCTGCTTTTTGCGCGTGTAAAATTAATCCCCGGGAAACAAATGTTAGTATTTTTTAACAGGGTCACTCACTTATCCTTTCTAATTTAATTAAATTTTAATTTAAAATAATCTTGTCGGTTAACCGAAATGAATAACCGAAAAATGAACATCCCTAGCTTAAATACCTGTCTGTTCCTCATACAAATCTATCATATGAAAGACATGGAGTATAGTCTGTTTTTGATTATTTTATGGTGCTTTATGTCCTTTTTGGGGCCTGACAGCCCCTGGTCCCCTTCCACTTTCACTGTATAAACAAGAGCAGCTCATACATTCTGCTAAACATATCAAAATTCATACAGATTTAGAATAACAAATGGGTGAGTAAATGATGACAGAATTTTCATTTTGCACTGCAAGTGACTTATCCATTTAAGGGCACTGCATTCAATTATAAAGCCTTATATTAGAGGCAAGGTTAGAGCAATGTGTGCATGTAGGCTACATGTCACCTATGAGGTCTAGTGTGCCTTTTGCCTCAAGCTGTGTTACATCAGCACACTGTTGCAGCAATTTCTTTCTTACTTCCTTCTTCCTCTCATTCATTCATTCTGCAATGTCATTTCAACACTACAGGACCTGCAAAGCAAATCTCTCCCAATCAGTTTCAGCTACACTGTGGGTCACATACAGGCCCTCACTCATGCTTGAATCTCAGCTAATGTATAACAGGGGCTTTCAACTGGCTTGTGGACGTGGGAGGTGAAAAAAAAAAAGTGTGCAATTTCCAGAAAGTGCTACCGACTTCCTTGTGTGTGGTGCTGGTCAACAGAGAAGAGCTGTTATTACATCATGGAGCTGTGCTGAAGCAATCTGTGAACTGCCAAAGAAAGCTACACGAGACATTCTGCTCTCTACATTTGATTTTGTACCATACACACTTCATGGAAACTGCAAGACAAGGCATCTCAAATCACAAATCATTTCAAGGAGGGTGAATATCAGGTCACTGCTAAAAAAATACAAATCAACCCAGGTTTCTTCCTCACACCCTGTAATCCTTTATCATGGCTTAATGGATAATAGCTTCACGTTAGGACCGTCTGCAATGACAGGAGCAGGGAAAACCGATCTAAAACAAGCAGTGTGTATAGAAACAGGCTGATCAAGCTTTAAAGCCAACACCACACCGCTAGAAACACAGCAGAAAACAGAGCCCACCTTTACAAATGCACACAATATTAACAAGAGTTTCACAAAAACTAGGAATAGGATTCCAAAAAAATATATATACTTTATTTTTTTTGTGAGGATGTATAAAAGTGCATGCAATAAAACAGGTAGTTTTTCAGTAATTACACCTTTAGGGCTACAACAGCTTGTCACTGGGGCAGTACTATGAAAGGGATGACTTTGTACCTCTATATGTCCCTAAAAGGGGCATATTAGTAATAAAGACACCACTACGAAGCTTTCAGGGGTAAATAAGGTACAAGACAAAAAAGAAAATATTTTTGCATACATGTTTTGTATCATATTTGATATGATAGACTTCTATAGAGTATGATACAGTGAGAATACGGAGCTCACACGTGAGGAGAAAAAACACTATATTATTCAAAGGCCTAACAGTGTGCAGATGTTATTTATATGTTAATCACTGAGCATACATACATAAAATGCATATAAGTAGAAGTTGATACACCTGCTCCACTCCAGCTATTGTATACAGTTATACATCATGCCCTGAAAGGGATTGTGTATATACAAGACAAGCTGTTATACCCCTAAAGAGACCGTTTTCTGAGAGTGTGCATTAAATACACGACTTGTCCTTCTATCCACTTATTAAAGGTTCAGTCCCCTGACATTAGTGTCTACATACATCAGCCAAACTGCGATTCGAACCAAGCAGCAGACTTTTAGCCATTAGGCCACACAGCTCCACTTTCTGCTTTGTAAGTGTATAGTCGCAGCTAGAGTCTAAACATGTAGTAGGTGTCGTTAGATCCTTATTTAAAGGCTTTAATCAGCTTACCAGATTGAAGCTCGTCTCCACAATGTCCCGGTTGGAGACTTCACCAGCCTCCAGGAGCCCCGCCAGCACGGCGAACTTCATGCGGATCCCTCGGATGGGAACCCCGACAGCGCTGTCACCTGCGCTCGCCATGACGGAGACACAGGTGAGGGGAACAGGTGGGACACCTGTCTGACCCTACAGTCCGGTTAAACTACGGGGAAACGTACGGAAATGTCTCGTTAACGTTACGCTGACAGAGGTGAAGAACAGGTCCTGGTCTCCACTCACGGCCAGTTTAGCCGTTAATTTCGGCGGGAAGCGCCGGTTGATGTCACTAACCTGACTGACAGGAATATTCTGCTGTGGAGAAGAAAAACAGCTATGAACTTGTCAAAAGGAGGACAAAACCGCGCTGAGGTGAGCCTAGAAACGAAACACAACGCTTGTCGAGCCCCGCCGGGTTAGTAAAGGAAAGACATTTAAACAAAAATGTAATTGAAGTGTTCGCGCGTCAAACAGGAAACCGCGATGCTGAAGAGATTCCGCGCAGGTAACGTTAGTCGCACCGATAAGCCGCAAAAACTACAAAATACAAGGCAAGAAACGTCCGACACTGGCTTTCAGGGATCCCTCCGAAGAGAAGACAAGCTTCTCGGCCGCTGTGGGAACTGCTGGAGTGAAGTTTCAGCGGTAACCCACTTTACAGCGCCATCTCTTCCTGCATCAGCTCCTGCTCCGCTCCGTCTCCGCCATGACAGTGGAGCTCAGGGTTGCCAGGCTTTCACAACTAAACCCTCCTAATTGCATACATGTAAAAAAAATAATAACATTTAAAATACACTTTTTTGGGTAGGGTTTCCCTGTCTAAATTTGCATTCCGGTGGCTAAACATCACATAATTGGGGTTGCTTCAACCAGCGGACATGAAAACAACCCGCGGCAACAGTGTTAAAGTAGCACAGTTCTTGCACAGACTTGGCAACCCTGAGCGCTGCTAGCTGCGCATGCGCAGTGCGCCGAGAGCGGAGAGAAGGGAGAAGGGGGGATGGCTCAGGTGTGTCAGCTACTAGACTACAGTGAGAACCTGCCAGGACAGAATGACACTTCATACTGAAGATCTTGTGTCAGGGACGCTCTTTTGTGGTGGTGGTTTACGATAATGCACTTGCTTTGAGAATGACATAGAGACATCTGGAGGACAGAGGGATAAAAGGCATGCTTTCATCAGAAACGTGGTTTGCATCAAGATTTGACTTGGTGACATCAAAGAATGTGTTATTAATATTCATGTTATTATTTGGAATGTGGATTGTTTATAATAATTAAACAACATGCATGCACAATATAGTGGTCCGTCAAACTATTTACAAATAAATGCACAGATCTAATGTATTGTTGAACTAAGCATGTAGAGGAAGAGCATGTCAGGAGTCAGAAAGAGCTTTACAAGTATGTTTACACACACAAGGAATTTTCCAGTGCAGAAAAATTAGAGACATAAGCATACATGCTAGTGCAGACATATGTAGGAATTACACAGTAGAGATGAAATTCAACACTAATATAAGAACTGAAAATTAAATAATGCACTATATACAGAAGTAGAAATATAGAGAAAAAACATATAAGTTTTAAATGAATGTACAGATATGTTATTTACAAGTGTACAGTTTACAAGCGTGAGATCATCTTTTTTGGAAGATCGTAGGACTGTACTGTAATAATATTACGTTTTGCAGTAGCTAGTAGTGTAACTAATTACTAATAAGATTTCAGTAATAACAGTTATCATCCATAAAACAGTTTAGTTACTTATTATATTACTATAATTAAAAATCTTTTTGGAAATTAAACCGTTTCTTACAAACGTATGTGATTTGATTAAATACATAATGAAATATAATCGTATATGGGTAACGGAGAAATTGCAATTAGCTTCAAGCTACACGTGACAATGAATGAGATAAATACAACACTTCTATGTCACTATCAGTCAATACTGAGTGTTTGTAATAACTTCTGACTGCGATCCGGTGTGGATTTTGGTCAAATGATGAGGCAGAAATATGTTGTTAGTAACATTCTAGAATAATTTTATGTGGAAGATACACAGTTACAGTACAACTTCTGTCAGGAGTGAAGAAAAAGTAATGTAGTAGTGTAACTAATTACTGTTGCCAGAAAGTAACAATATTACCTTTGAAAGGAGTAACTAGTAATGAGAAATATATTACATTCTTTGAGTAACTAGCCCAATTCTGTGCTGCCAAACGCATGAATGTAAAGTTATTATACACTCTTAAAAATAAAGGTTCTTCACAGCGATGCCATAGAAGAACCATTGTCGGTTCCACAAAGAACCATTCAGTCAAAGGTTCTTTAAAGAACCATCTCTTTCTTAGCTTTTTATAATCTGAAGAACCTTCTTTCACCACAAAGAAGCTTTGGTCAAACAGAAAGGTTCTTCAGATGTTGAAGGTTCTTTATGGAACCATTTAGACAAAAAGGTTCTTCTGTGGCATCATGAAGCACCTTTATTTTTAAGAGTGTAGATGTAGATTGCCCTTTACAGTCTGAGACCACGTGATTTCTTATACTTTCCCTTAAACTTAAAAATGCTGTTACTCAACCTCATGTCATTCCAACCATGATTTGTTTTTCCATTTGGACCTCAGTGTTCTTCTTTCGTGTTTTTTTGTTTGTGCTCCATTAAAATAAGAAATGCAGTGAGTAAATAATGGCAGAATTGGGTGAACTATCCCTTAAAGTGTGCGTGAAATAAAAAAATGCACTGTATATATATATATTGTAACGCATGTTATAGTATGTATTATTAGCTGTATTATCATATGTCATTTTTTTTGTTTTTTATTATGTCTATATAGGTTTATGAATGATTCATGCATGCATGTTTAATTTATTTTTACTTGTAATTTTTAACTCCATCTTCTGATGAAAGCAAAAGACTTCTCTCTGGTGACGTAAGTGCCTGAATTCTTTAAGCATTTAGTCTGATTAAACCCCGGCCCTCCACAATCAGTGGCATTAAGTTCAGTGCAACAAACCAAGTTCTCCTCCGATAATCCTCTACATTTAGATGTGCATCACAAAATGGAAGAAAAGATCTGTCACTACTTCTGTTTCATCACGAGTCATTTGTTATTTTACCAATTGTATCTAAATCTAAGTTCAGATTTGTGATACTCATGATATTTTAGATTCAGTTAGGTTAGTGTAAATTATGTTTGTACATGTTTCACATACAAAGAGTTATTAAAGCACATATTATTTTGTTGCATATAAACTTTACTATTTAATATACACAGACAGACCATTAGCCCACACAGAGGTCTTGAATATTAAAGAATCTTAACTAGCTTCAAGTATTAATGTGCTCACTGTCTCATTATAATCAAAGTGTGGTTTCATGGCCCCTTTGAGTCATTGCCAAGGAGTCAGCAGCACATTGACTTTGTTGACTCTATATACAGTCCCTCGGGGGCCGCAGAATTAAAGGTCTAGACTCCGTAGCAACAAAGAACAATTAGTCTCACAGGCACTGAGCTTTATACTGACATCAGACCACACGGACGCATACATAAAGAATTCATTACCGAAATCAATTTATAGAACATGCTTTTTTTTCTCCTTCCAAATGCTTTCTTACCAAAGTAACAGGGCGTGGCATCTATTTAAAGAAGCTTGTTATAGTGTAAATAAAACCATATGCTAATGCAAAATGTCAGTTTTAATTATGCAGCTATTGTGAGTGAGTGAAATGTGAGCGCTTGTTCTTGGGTTTCTAAAGAACAGTGTGAAAGATAATTATGAATATGTTCATCTGTGCAATGTTGCCTTTGGAAACAATATGGAATGCAATATGATAATTTTATATAATACATATATATATATATAATGACTAACGTTAGCTAGTTTTCAGCATACTTCACTGACTAACGTTAGTTAGTTTCCAGCATACTTCACTGACTAACGTTAGCTAGTTTCCAGCATACTTCACTGACTAACGTTAGCTGATTTTCCAGCATACTTGACTAACGTTAGCTAGTATCCAGCATACTTGACTGACTGCCTAACGTTAGCTGGTTTTCCAGCATACTTGACTAACGTTAGCTAGTATCCAGCATACTTGACTGACTGCCTAACGTTAGCTGGTTTTCCAGCATACTTGACTAACGTTAGCTAGTATCCAGCATACTTGACTGACTGCCTAACGTTAGCTGGTTTTCCAGCATACTTGACTAACGTTAGCTAGTATCCAGCATACTTGACTGACTGCCTAACGTTAGCTGGTTTTCCAGCATACTTGACTAACGTTAGCTAGTATCCAGCATACTTGACTGACTGCCTAACGTTAGCTGGTTTTCCAGCATACTTGACTAACGTTAGCTAGTATCCAGCATACTTGACTGACTGCCTAACGTTAGCTGGTTTTCCAGCATACTTGACTAACGTTAGCTAGTATCCAGCATACTTGACTGACTGCCTAACGTTAGCTGGTTTTCCAGCATACTTGACTAACGTTAGCTAGTATCCAGCATACTTGACTGACTGCCTAACGTTAGCTGGTTTTCCAGCATACTTGACTAACGTTAGCTAGTATCCAGCATACTTGACTGACTGCCTAACGTTAGCTGGTTTTCCAGCATACTTGACTAACGTTAGCTAGTATCCAGCATACTTGACTGACTGCCTAACGTTAGCTGGTTTTCCAGCATACTTGACTAACGTTAGCTAGTATCCAGCATACTTGACTGACTGCCTAACGTTAGCTGGTTTTCCAGCATACTTGACTAACGTTAGCTAGTATCCAGCATACTTGACTGACTGCCTAACGTTAGCTGGTTTTCCAGCATACTTGACTAACGTTAGCTAGTATCCAGCATACTTGACTGACTGCCTAACGTTAGCTGGTTTTCCAGCATACTTGACTAACGTTAGCTAGTATCCAGCATACTTGACTGACTGCCTAACGTTAGCTGGTTTTCCAGCATACTTGACTAACGTTAGCTAGTATCCAGCATACTTGACTGACTGCCTAACGTTAGCTGGTTTTCCAGCATACTTGACTAACGTTAGCTAGTATCCAGCATACTTGACTGACTGCCTAACGTTAGCTGGTTTTCCAGCATACTTGACTAACGTTAGCTAGTATCCAGCATACTTGACTGACTGCCTAACGTTAGCTGGTTTTCCAGCATACTTGACTAACGTTAGCTAGTATCCAGCATACTTGACTGACTGCCTAACGTTAGCTGGTTTTCCAGCATACTTGACTAACGTTAGCTAGTATCCAGCATACTTGACTGACTGCCTAACGTTAGCTGGTTTTCCAGCATACTTGACTAACGTTAGCTAGTATCCAGCATACTTGACTGACTGCCTAACGTTAGCTGGTTTTCCAGCATACTTGACTAACGTTAGCTAGTATCCAGCATACTTGACTGACTGCCTAACGTTAGCTGGTTTTCCAGCATACTTGACTAACGTTAGCTAGTATCCAGCATACTTGACTGACTGCCTAACGTTAGCTGGTTTTCCAGCATACTTGACTAACGTTAGCTAGTATCCAGCATACTTGACTGACTGCCTAACGTTAGCTGGTTTTCCAGCATACTTGACTAACGTTAGCTAGTATCCAGCATACTTGACTGACTGCCTAACGTTAGCTGGTTTTCCAGCATACTTGACTAACGTTAGCTAGTATCCAGCATACTTGACTGACTGCCTAACGTTAGCTGGTTTTCCAGCATACTTGACTAACGTTAGCTAGTATCCAGCATACTTGACTGACTGCCTAACGTTAGCTGGTTTTCCAGCATACTTGACTAACGTTAGCTAGTATCCAGCATACTTGACTGACTGCCTAACGTTAGCTGGTTTTCCAGCATACTTGACTAACGTTAGCTAGTATCCAGCATACTTGACTGACTGCCTAACGTTAGCTGGTTTTCCAGCATACTTGACTAACGTTAGCTAGTATCCAGCATACTTGACTGACTGCCTAACGTTAGCTGGTTTTCCAGCATACTTGACTAACGTTAGCTAGTATCCAGCATACTTGACTGACTGCCTAACGTTAGCTGGTTTTCCAGCATACTTGACTAACGTTAGCTAGTATCCAGCATACTTGACTGACTGCCTAACGTTAGCTGGTTTTCCAGCATACTTGACTAACGTTAGCTAGTATCCAGCATACTTGACTGACTGCCTAACGTTAGCTGGTTTTCCAGCATACTTGACTAACGTTAGCTAGTATCCAGCATACTTGACTGACTGCCTAACGTTAGCTGGTTTTCCAGCATACTTGACTAACGTTAGCTAGTATCCAGCATACTTGACTGACTGCCTAACGTTAGCTGGTTTTCCAGCATACTTGACTAACGTTAGCTAGTATCCAGCATACTTGACTGACTGCCTAACGTTAGCTGGTTTTCCAGCATACTTGACTAACGTTAGCTAGTATCCAGCATACTTGACTGACTGCCTAACGTTAGCTGGTTTTCCAGCATACTTGACTAACGTTAGCTAGTATCCAGCATACTTGACTGACTGCCTAACGTTAGCTGGTTTTCCAGCATACTTGACTAACGTTAGCTAGTATCCAGCATACTTGACTGACTGCCTAACGTTAGCTGGTTTTCCAGCATACTTGACTAACGTTAGCTAGTATCCAGCATACTTGACTGACTGCCTAACGTTAGCTGGTTTTCCAGCATACTTGACTAACGTTAGCTAGTATCCAGCATACTTGACTGACTGACGTTGGCTAGTTTTCCAGCATACTTGACTGACATCAGACTTACTGTGACACATGTGTTGGATGCTCGAAGCTATTTGGGAGCTTTCTCATATGTTAGTTAACACGACCAGAGCAAATATAAGCAGTGTCAACATTTCAGCTATGAAAATGTGGCTCCATTACAACATTTGCTTGCAATATTGTCTCTGAAATGAATTTTCTCTTGCAGTGTTGATCCATTCTCCAAGAAGGACTGGTATGATGTCAAGGCACCAGCCATGTTCAACATCCGCAACCTGGGCAAGACCTTGGTCACCAGGACTCAGGGAACCAGTAAGTGCTGTTAATGTCCACCCGTGTTTGTTTACAAACAAATATAATGTGAACCGTTAAAGGATAAGTTCACTTCCAGAATAAGAATGTCCTGGTAATGAACTCACCCCCATGTTATCCAAGATGTTCGTGTCTTTCTGTCTTCAGTCACAAAGAAATGAAGGTTTATGAGGAAAACATTCCAGGATTTTTCTCCATATAATGGACTTCAATGGGGACCAATGGGCTGAAGGTCCAAATTACAGTTTCAATGGACTCTACACGATCCCAGCCGAGGAATAAGGGTCTTATCTAACGAAATGATCGCTCATTTTCTGTAAATAAATAAATGCTCGTCTTGCACTAGCTGGACTTCACACATTACGTAATGACGTTGGAAAGGTCATGCGCGGTTAGCTCTTCGTCTGTGTGCTCTGCTTTAAAAAGACGAAAAACTCCATCTCATTTTCTCCTCCAACTTCATTGTTTGTTTTTTTTACTTTCCTTGCACGTTTGCTTTGTAAACACTGGGTCGGTGCTTTCACCTAAGTCACGCGTGAACTTTCCAACGTTATTACGTCATGAGTGAAGTCGAGCCAGTGCACAACGAGCATTTGTGGTTTAAAAAGTAAATGCATTTTTATTTTTATTAGTAAATGAGTGATTGTTTCTCTAGATAAGAGCCTTATTCCTCGGGTGGGATCGTGTAGAGTCCTTTGAAACTGTAATTTGGACCTTCAGTCCATTGGACCCCATTGAAATCCTGGAAATTTTCTCAGAAACCTTAATTTCTTTGCAACTGAAGACAGAAAGACATGAACGTCTTGGATGACATGGGGGGTGAGTAAATTATCAGGACATTTTTATTCTGGAAGTGAACTAATCCTTTAACCCTGCTGGGAAAGGACAGATCCACGTGTGTCCCAATTGTTTGATGCAAATCCATATTCGTGCTGTATTGCAGTGGGAATACATGATGACAGTAGTTTTGGTTCTAGATGAAAAGCTGTGATTACTGTTATCAGATCACCTGACATTCCCATAAGATTCGTCATAGCACTACAAGCTGCAGCGAGTTTAACGACATGTCTTTGTAATCTAGGAATTGCCTCTGATGGTCTGAAGGGACGTGTGTTCGAGGTCAGTCTGGCTGATCTGCAGAACGACGAGGTGGCCTTTCGCAAGTTCAAGCTGGTCACAGAAGACGTGCAGGGCAAGAACTGCCTCACCAACTTCCATGGCATGGACCTCACCCGTGACAAGATGTGCTCTATGGTCAAGAAGTGGCAGGTACAATCGAGTTAACGTGTGACCTTTACTCACTCGATGCTTTAGTTTAGGTCGTAGAAGGCTTGCCATCACAAAAAAAATTAAAATATATATTGTATCAGCCTCAAGTCGTGTTAATGCTACACTTTATTATGTTCACTTTCATTTATATGCATGCAAATGCTGAAAACTGGAAACGCAACGTTCCAATGTGTGACCAAAGGAAGATTGATACTTCATGGTGTGATCTGTTGGCTTAATTAAGATAAACTTGGAAGCTGCAGGTTTGCAGCATTGCTTTTTGAATTTACATTTTAGAGTTATGTTGATTTTGTTTTTAAATGGCAGCAAAGTGTGACGTTACATCATGTAACGTGTGTCTGAAGAAGTTTTGCATGCTCAAAGTCTGGTGTGACCACACTTTTAGTGTTACATAAACGGCAGCGATGCTTTTAAAATAAATCTTGTATCACCCTCAAGTGGTGTTAATGCTACACTTTTCATTACATTCACTTTCATTTATATGCTGAAAACTGGAAACGCAACGTTCCAAATTTGGTGAAGATGTGTGACCAAAGGAAGATTGATGCTTCATGGTGTGATCTGTTGGCTTAATTAAGATAAACTTGGAAGCTGCAGGTTTGCAGCATTGCATTTTGAATTTACATTTTAGAGTTATGTTGATTTTGTTTTTAAATGGCCGATGCGTTCAAAGCGGGACTTTAATTTTGACTGCGCTGAGAGCGGCAACGCCTGAACACACAGTGCTCACATTCTCCCTCTTGTTCGCCGTCGTCGTTAACAGTTCTGTCTAATACAGATAGAAGTCTGTCTAATAATCAGATAGAACGGTTAAACAAAGGAATTAAAATGTATACGAAGTATTATATTATTAGTAATAGACAGGCAAACATTATAATACTTTCTCGTTTGCCGTCAGCATTCAGCAAATACGCATTTATATCATTTAAACAAATCTTTGAATGACTAATGAACATTTAATTTCACAAACCTTGCAAACTTAGTCGAATCCAGTTGTGAGATCTTGTGAAGTGTGCATGTGGCCTGCATGATCGCGCGTTCTCTGTGTGACTTTTGGTCTGTGCAAATTGAATGTTTTAAACATTAAATTCGTGATTTCAAATTATGCTGCTCTTTATGCATTTGCCCACTGTCATATTCATGTAATTTGAAAAAAAAAACAATATCGGTCAACCACTACACACTAGTTTGCTGTTTAATACTGTAAAGTTGCTTTGACAAACTCTATTGTTAAAAGCGCTATATATATATATAAAAAAAAAGTATATATACATATAATTTATGCATTTAGCAGATATAAAATTATTATATACATATATATTTCCCCCAGGGGAAGCCGCCACACATAGAGTGTAAGTCTGTGGGAAACACTGATAGTATATGGTATAACCATCTGATTCCATGAATGTAGCACCAATACTAATGTTGTGTGGCTAATAATGTAGATTCAGTCAATGATCTGTTGTGCTTTTGAAGAGCCACTCATTGGTTTTGAGTTTGATGTGAATATATATATATATATATATATAAATAAATAAAGGTGACTTGACTTAAATCAGTTGGTCGGGCAGGCTCTGCTCCTGGAGGTCCAACTTCCTGCACAGTTCAGCTGCAGCCCTAATTTAACACGACTGAACGAATTAATCAAGATCTTCAGGATTACTGGATTGTTATTGGGGGTGTGTTTGAATTAAATTCTGCAGGAAGGTGGGCTTTGATACTTAAATAAAATGGGCTGAGATTTAGTGTGGTTGAAATACTGGATGTTGGCTGTTAAGATGAAGTGTTCAAATGACGCGTCTTAGCATTTTTCATTTATTTTAGTAGACACTTTTTGTACAGTGGCGCTCATGCTCACGAATACAGTGTCAGTAGCATACCTTTTGAGTGCTGAGGTAATGGAGATAGAGCAGTAACTCCATTATAACTTCCTACCTGATAACTTTATTAGCAGTCGTGATCTATAATTGTCATGCAGCTGTTTAATAAATGGTTTCTATATATATATATTTTTTTGTTCTGTAGGATTCCTGACAGTGTAGGCAAGGACATTGAGAAAGCCTGCCAATCCATCTACCCTCTACACGACGTCTACGTCAGGAAGGTTAAGATGCTGAAAAAGCCCAAGTTTGAGCGTAAGTTGAAACGTGTGATGAACATGCATGGCTTGTTTCGACTTTCATTTATGCCAGGGTTCCTCAAATCTTGCTCTGGAGGGCCAGTGCGCTGAAGAGTTTAGCTCCAACCCTGATCAAAGTCCCCTACCTGTGACTTTCTAATGATCCTGAAGACATTGATTAGCATGCTCAGGTGTGCTTGATTAGGGTTCGAGTGAAACTCTGCAAGAAAGTGGATCTCGTGGGCCAGATTTGAGGATCCCTGATTTATGCTAATGACTGACAAATGTTAGTTTTTTTGGGGCCGGATGTTGTTGCACTTTCATGGTCAGGGTTCCATGCATTAATGCTTTTAAGCGCATTATTTGGTGCATCCCATGATTGTTGGATGTGAGAAGTTTTGTTGTGATGCTTCATCTCTTAACCTTACCAAATTAATCTTGTGTAGAGTAATATCTTTTTTTTTGTTACCCAAGCCATTTAATAAGTTTGAACTTTTTTTAGGTTTAGAAGTAGAATTGTATGAGATTAATGTATTTATGAAATTTTATCGTGCAGTTGGTAAGCTGATGGAGCTTCACGGTGAAGGTGGAACCAGCAGTGCTGCTGCTAAACCTGCAGAGGGCGACACTGGAGCCAAGGTGGAGCGAGCTGACGGATATGAGCCCCCCATCCAGGAGTCTGTCTGAAACTCCCAACACGAACTGCTGGTGTCAATAAACATGTAAATTTGAGTCCGTGTACTGGTGTTTTTCTCAGTATATGTCACATAAAACCGGCTGATCATCATGTTCATGCTTTTAATATCTCCAGTCAGAAATGGAGATATAAAAGCCTGTGTTAGAATTGAACATTTCAGGGTTTCTACACTATGGAATTTGATTTTAGTAACTTCCCGGTCTGGATAAATATAGGAATAAAGAGTTTGAAAAGTCTTAGTTTCCAGACTATTGCCCCTTTTTTATTTTTTTTCTAAAATATAAATTTTCTAAAAATTGGAGCGGGCAGCCTGCACTTCCAATATTTTAGTGATCCTGAATTTAAGGAGCCTATTTCCATTATGCGAAACTCTGTCTTTGCCATAAATGTGTCTCTTTTGGACTTAGCTAAATGAATGAGCTTGATAAATGTCAAACCACAGTTACAGTATCAAATTGATGTGTCAGAGGTTAATATACGTGACCCTGGAGCACAAAACCAGTCTGAAGAATATTTTCCATATATGTATATTTGTAGCAATACAATACCAAAAATACATTGTATGGGTCAAAATTATAGATTTTTCTTTTATGCCAAAAATCATAAGCACATTAAGTAAAGATCATGTTCCATAAAGATATTTTGTACATTTCCTCCTGTAAATGTCAAAACTTCATTTTTGATTAGTAATATGCATTGCTAAGAACTTCATTTGGACAACTTTAAAGTGATTTTCTCAATATTTAGATTTTTTTGCAACCTCAAATTCCAGATTTTCAAATAGTTGTATATCGGCCAAATATTGATCTATCCTAACAGACCATACATCAATGGAAATCTTTATTCAGCTTTCAGATGAGGTATAAATCTCAATATCGAAAAATTGACCCTTATGACTGATTTTGTGGTCCAGGGTCACATATGCATGTTATAAAAGCGTTTCCTTGTGTGATGTGAGGGCAGGTTGTGAGTTCCAGAACAAATGCATGAAAATGAATCTGCACTGTGTGAGAGAAAATGTATTTTTACAGACGTGTAGCCTACTAAATGTAACTCTGCTGGAACCATCTCAGACACTGATGACAAGTCCCCCCAATATTTTATATTTTTTAATGCTGCATTGCATTACACACATGCTCTGTTGTTGCGATGACAAAAAAAAAAACTTCCTACTGATCTCCATTCCTTAAAAATAAGCTCTGCTCCCAACCAATATACTATGAAAATAACTTTTACTGTACCTTTTGATCACACTGTATAAAAGTGTTCATCCTTAGTAGGTTTTTCTTGTTTTCCAGTGCTATTTCTTAACTTTCTTAAATCAAGATACTCACTTGAGAAGCAAAAAAATGGCCTCAGTCTTGTTTTCTGTGAAACTGATCAAAATTAGGCGAGTATGATTAAAAAGAACAGATATCCACCAATGGACTCACAAAAAACACTGTGTGAGAGAGAAAATGTATTTTTACAGACGTGTAGCCTACTAAATGTAACTGTGCTGGAACCATCTCAGACACTGATGACAAGTCCCCCCAATATTTTATATTTTTTAATGCTGCATTGCATTACACACCTGCTCTGTTGTTGCGATGACAAAAAAAAAAACTTCCTACTGATCTCCATTCCTTAAAAATAAGCTCTGCTCCCAACCAATATACTATGAAAATAACTTTTACTGTACCTTTTGATCACACTGTATAAAAGTGTTCATCCTTAGTAGGTTTTTCTTGTTTTCCAGTGCTATTTCTTAACTTTCTTAAATCAAGATACTCACTTGAGAAGCAAAAAAATGGCCTCAGTCTTGTTTTCTGTGAAACTGATCAAAATTAGGCGAGTATGATTAAAAAGAACAGATATCCACCAATGGACTCACAAAAAACAACTTAATTAAAAAATATTTAAAATAAAATATTCAAAACCCTTTTCATACCACATTTACAGATATTTGTTCTTTTTCAATTTTGTTCAGTTTCTTAGAAAACAAGACTTAACTTCATTTTGCATTTCAAGCAAATGGATCATGATTTAAGGATGTTTATATATTTGTATTGGAAAAGAAGACAAAAATACTGAGGAAGATCATACAACATTTAATGCCATGACTACGACATTTATCATTATTACTATACACATTTAAGTCCTGTAGAAACACTGGTATGCCTCAGATATCTATCATCACTTGTCAAAATTATAAAGATGGACAAGTGCAGATTTATGGACACAAGATGGCACTGGACATTTGTCTATGGTGTTTAAAAATGCTTAAATCTATAAAATGATGCATACTATTTGTTCCCTGTATATAAAACCAGTAATACTGTATACAGAAAAGTAAGCTTAAATGTAGTACACTGTAATAAATAAATCTAAAATAAAGTACTGGCAGATTTTTACTGAGACATTATCCATTATTTTTTACCAACATTTCCATTAAGCCTAAAACACAATGCAATGAAGTGCAAAATTCAAAATGCAGGTAAAACACCTGTAAAAACTAACTAGAGAAATTCCATCAAATACAGTACAGTGCCATATTTTTAGATTTTTTTTAGAGTGTATATACAGGTGCATCTCAATAAATTAGAATGTCATGGAAAAGTTCATTTATTTCAGTAATTCATCCACAGAGACCTGATTTTTGATTTCATCACTAAATGTAACTATATTATCGTCCAGCTCTTCATATAAAGTATGTTAAACTTTATCTGCATACATACAGTATGCTAACAGAGAGCGATATATACTGTACTGTACTATGCAGCATATCTCAACCGCTTGATAGCTTGTATTGTCGCAAAATGTAAATTATATTAACTCTATTCTGCTAAATGTGACTATAAGGGAGGAAGATATTAAGATATTTTAAACAAATAACATCATGGTTTTCTGTAAAGCTGCTTTGAAACACTTTTTTTGAAGTGCTATTAAAATAGATTTGACTTAACTTGAAACATCAGACATCTCACTGATTTAATGCTTCATATCATGAATTGTTGGACGTATAAGTGTTTGTTTAAGTGTTCAAAGGGATAGCACACCCAAAAATGAACTTTTTGGTCACCGTTCACAGAAGACCAAAATCAATATTCTTTTAAACCTTTTGTGTTTCACAGAATAAAGTCATACAGGTTTAAAATGCCAGAAGTAAGTAAACGCCAACGAAACAAGTAGCAACGGATCTTTTCTTCCATATTGTGATGTACATCAAAGTGTAATTAATTATTAAAAAAGGCAATGCAGGGCATTGCTCTCTGAAGTGTTAAGGGTTTAAGTGTATTAAATGATTGGAGAAGCCCTGTATACATCATTAGAGTAAAAGTGTGTCATTTTCACTAGAAGGTCAAGTTATGATGTTTTGATTAACATTACGAGGTCATATATATATATGCACATTTATATGCATTAATGCATTGCCCACAATACGATCTATAAAACGCATTTCGAAAATAAATATGGTGATTTTTCAATGTGACAGGTGGAGAGATGGAGATGGATACCTCACTGGTCTTGTAAGACATTCGTGTGTTAGATGAACCGGCCATTCCTGAGAAATAAAACACAATATATATTAGATCCATAGCCCAGAGCTGTATGTATTATGCAAGCAAACATATGCAAGGATTATAAAATCCTGTTAAATTCAAAATTCAAATTTACTCTAAAGATGGTCTAGCACATACATTCTAGCCCAGTTCGCCCAATTATTTCATTTGACTGATTTCTTAAAGAGCCTGCACACAAATGCAGTTTATGAATGAATTATTACTGTACAGTAAATGTGCTCCATGGAGTCACAGAGAAGAGCAGCTGTCCTCATGAAGAGATTCTGCAGTGTAACGAATGAGCTGGAGGTCACAGTTTAATAAAGCCCTTAATGAAACACAAACAGCAGGGCAAATTCTTCACATTCCCTCCACAGTGATACTTCACTGTTGGTGTTGTAGGTAGATTAGAAACCTATACAGTAAGTGGATGGATTACAGACAGTTCTAGAGCAAACTGAATGTGCTGCATGTTCTCTGAAACATCGTTTTTTTAAAACAAATTTCAACTTTTGTCACATTAAAACTACAGACCTAGGAAACATTTTACCTCACCGTCACTTATTTTTGTTTACTTTTTAATGTCTAGATTTTGGCATTTTATCCTTGACACAGAAAATCCATCATCATCTATAACCTCCAACCATCATGATGCATGGAATAAACAATCCCTTTCAGTATTTACTGCATAAAATTATTCATATAAATGTTTATACGAATTATAACGGTCCTGCGGTTATATACTGGTGTAGTTGTGACAATTTCCACCACAACCCACAATATTGCCACTAATAAACGTTTTCAAAAGTCTTGTTTACAACATTCTTGAGATGAATATCAATTGTGAACAGTAGCTTTTTTTTATATAGTGTGTCATTTCCTGTTAAGCTGTAATTTGGCCAAATTATGCAAAAAGTGGCCATTTTATTTCAAAATTGTTTATAGTTTTGCATCATTTAGATTTCCATCACCGCCTTTGCCATTACAGAATGTTATTAAACACAACGTATATTTTAAGATGTGCTGGAAATGACACTGTCGTGGAAATGTTTAGGACATTTTAGAAAAAGACAGAATTGTCCAGTGATGTATGTATGTCTGCTGCGGGACATTTTTAACTCTTTCCCCGCCAACGGTTTTGAAAAACAGTTGCCAGCCACCGCCAGCATTTCTGATGATTTTCACTAAAATTTCATGGCCCCCAGAATATTTTGTTTTATGAATATCTGAACATGCAATACATCGAAATAAAGAACAGAGTCTCTACTTAAACAAAAAATCAGTTTTATTCTAGCTTCAAGCATTCTTTTTCTTTATCAACACTAGAATGTAAGTAAGTTTTATATTGAAAAAAAGCAAAATTTTGAGCAAAAAGCAGAGAAAATCACTTTTTTTATCAAATACTACATCTGGATAATATTCAGTAGGATGATCAAAGCAAAGATGCGGTAGATCGTTCCATCAACACCTCCAAAGCTTGCACAGTCCTTTGCCACTTCCTGGATCGACATTTCACTCAGTAACATTAGGCAGTTTTCATTTAAATGCTGTTTATTATTGATGATCGCATTGTTTTTCATATGCATTTGCATACATTCGAGATTGCTCGTTTCTGCATCTTCCTCGCATGTGTTTTTGATCGGCACATTCTAGACTCATTCAGGAGATGCGTAATAGTTCCCCCGAGCATATAACAGCGAGAACGCGGAAACCCGGAAAATTCTGTGTTTGGCGGGGAAAGAGTTAAAAGAGAGTACCAAAAGAAGCACCCTAATAAACAAAATTGCACTAGGGCTTGTTTCTAAGCATTGCATTCTTTGCTTTTTCAGGGATCGTAAGACAAATCACTGCTTCAATTTTGATCAGTTCTGTCTGGACTAATGTTACGATTCTGATATAGTGTTTTTGTCCTTTTCGGACCTTTACATATTCCAATTCCAACTTTTTTATCGGAATTAAAGAAAAAATATATATATTCCGTGGTGGGAAAAAAAATCCATAGGATCTAAATGTTTTAAACTTTAAATAAAATGTGTATAATTTATAGATATATTGTTTTGGGCTCTTACCAGGCAGTGCAATCTTATTCGGAGCAGATTTCTGCACTGGGGCTGGAGGGAAATCCTCAAGCACTTCCACAAAGTTGAGAGGGAAAATACCAACTTGGCCGTTCACTTCCCCACGAGCCCACTCGTCTCCCACATATTCTTTAAGCCGAATCACATCACCTTCAGAGAATGAGAGCTCATCGCTCTGCTCTCCCTCAAAGTCAAACCTCCCGACACACCTTGGGCCTCTGAAGAAAACACAGGCATATGAGTCTAGTCATTGTCATATGTGACCCTGCAGCACAAAAGCAGTGTTAAGTCGCTGGGGTATATTTGTAGCAATAGCCAACAATACATTGTATGGGTCAAAATTATTGATTTTTCTTTTATGCCAAAAATCATTAGGATATTAAGTAAAGATCATGTTCCATGAAGATATTTTGTAAGTTTCCTACCGTAAATATATCAAAACTTATTTTTTGATTAGTAATATGCATTGCTAGGAACTTCATTTGGACAACTTTAAAGATGATTTCCTCAATATTTAGATTTTTTTGCACCCTCAGATTCCAGATATTCAAATAGTTGTATCTCAGCCAAATATTGTCCGATCCTAACAAACCATACATCAATGGAAAGATAATTTATTCAGCTTTCAGATGTTTAAATCTCAATTTAAAAAATTGACCCTTATGACTGGTTTTGTGCTCCAGGGTCACATATATGTGCTGCTGTAGATCAGATTTTAAATGAAAAATCAGTTCATTTAATTTGTGTTTAAGCTTTCACAATCGAATCCTGTGAGGATGACTTACCTGACAGGCTCAGGAGATGGTTTGGTTTGCCATTCATTGCTGGATGCTGGCGCAGATGTACCAGGCTTGTTCTGAAAAAAAAAAAAAGAAGAAAGCTTATTGGTGATGGTAGTTATTAATCAGCCCCAAACATACATGCTTAACCTTCAGTAAATGTTGCCCGTCAATCTCAGTAAGTAAATAACATGAGCCAAGATTTTTGCAACCCTGTTACCTTAATTTGAGACATTATTAGAAATAATTTTAAAATGCAATTTGTGTGATTTTGCCATTTTCTTGCTTTAAACATTAAAAAACGTCAATAGCGATTAGACAATGAATAAGAAAACAATGTGGAAAAAACTGCATCAGAATGAGTAACTGTCACGAATCCGGTCCATGAACTTTCCTTTTCATTGACTCTCGCACCACACAAACTGTTGCATAGCACCCCGGACTACATTTCCCATCATGCATTGCACTGATTGCACTCAGCACGAATGGCACACACCTGTTTACACTGATTGCACCCAGCTGTTTCATATCACTCCCTCACTATTTAACACTCACTCTGATCCCTTCCCTCGGCCGAGTATTGTTTCAGCGTTTATCACTCTCCTAGAGATAGCTACCTTACGGAGCCCTAGTCATTTGCCTTAGCCCTAGTCATTTGCCTTAGCCTTAGCCCTAGCCCTAGCCCTAGCCTCGCTGTTTTTCCGGTTTCTGATCTTCGCCTGGTTTCCTGGATTTCTCCCTTAGTCTTGCCCCTTCTGACTCTGTCTGCCCATCGTCGACCCACGCTAGCCCTAGGACTGTTCTTGTGTCTTGCCCACCATATACCTGTCTCACAAACACAGGACAGCGTATGATTATTACAGGAGAAGCTACACAACCACCTCTGACACTGATTGAAAAGGAGATACGCATATTTATGTATATATTATGTAATTGCGTGATTACATATATGAACTAGTTAATTGAGCCAGTTCACTGAAACGAACCAGTTCACGGAAAATAATCTGATTTCCTTGTTTGCCTGAGTGTCACGGTTGGTTTTGGGTGTTGGTTTATGTTCATGTAACCGCTTTTGGGGAGTTTATGTCCATGCTTAAGTTCATGTTTATGCCATGTCATTTCAAGCCAAGCACTTGTTTAGTTTGCATTTAGTTCATGTTTATGTTAAATAAAACTGCACTTGGGTCTATCATTACACTGAGGCTCTGGATCACAGGTAATAATGTTGTAAATAATGTTCAGTTTCTTGCACAGACTGATTGTTTCGCTTCATAAGATCTCAAAATATCGTCAGGAGGCACGGCTATTAATTTTGTGATCCTTGATAAGCTTTTTTGACTCTTAAAGTGACGGTAGCCATTGACTTGCCTTTTATGAATCACCAACAGCCACGGTTTCAGCTAAAAATCTTCTTTACTGTTCTACTGAAGAAAAAAAAGTCACCTACATCTTGAATGGCCTGAGGATGAGTAAATTAACAGCACATTTTCATTTTTGTGAGAACTATCTCTTTAAATGATGCTTGCCTTGGAAAACGGACCTTTGCTTTCTTACACAGAACACAACTGTCTATCTGTATTCACCTGGAGTGAAGTCATACAGGGCTTGCATTCGCAGAGATCCAGTGTTTTCCACCATGCCACTAAAAGAGCTGTTTTTCTGTAGAAACACATTGAGAGCCATGTTAGCATGTTGACATCACAAGACAGATAATACACTTACTGTACTTACTACTAAAACTACTATTAAACACTGAGTCAATATCAGTATTGATTACCTGAGGTGCTGAATTGAAGAGTACATTTGTTAAGGGTGTGATTATCTTCATATGTGTTTTCTGCACTCTCCCCTTAGCGTTTCCCACTTGGCATTCGAAGGTTTTGCTGTCTAATTCCTCAAGTAAGACGAGGACTTCATTTTTCTGTAGGAAATAAAGGATGGACATGCATTACATTTCCAACAGCTGAAACACGCAGGCAGATCAACACATAAACCGTCTGTAACTTGAGAAGACGGCACTATGAGGTTAATGTGAATGTATTGACCTGAAAGGAGAGCTCCCCCGTGTTAGTGCCATTGTAGTCAAACTCAGCAATACCGTGGGGGATCTCAAGCTGTGTAAGCCAAAAGAAGAGAGTAGAGTTGCATTAATTTGTTCAGTTCTTCTGTAATACCATTAAATCGTTAAAATAACATCTCACGGTGTATCTGTTGTAAAGACGATGTCCAGGGTTGGGTCTCGGCGGGAGGGCAGGCCCTTTTTTCGAAGCTCTAGGGTTTTGTTGCTGCCATTGAGGTTGCTGTTGTTTTGATGGCACTATTTGTGAAAATCCTGGATCTGAGGGCCGACGTTGGGAGCCATCGTTCCGTGGAGGAGGAGGTCGCCCTGGGCCTGTTTTAGCTGGTGATGGTCGAGGAGGCAGAACCTTTCCTCCACTGGGCCTGAAATATTATTAACATAGAATTTAAGGGCACAATAACAGACCGCATGCTATCGGCACTTAAAATCAGTGTCACAATTCTCAAGCGGATGCTGCCAAAACCAACCAGCCATGAAAATAGAAACAGATAAAAGCATGTTTAGAAAGTCGAAATAAGAGAAACTGATACTAGGACAGCTTTGAATAAATACATGATTCATTTACCGTGGTGGAAGAGACATAGCAGATGAGAGACTGAAGGAGTCCTGGGGGAAAAAAACATTAATATTCAACGTTTTTGTTGAAAAACAGAATTTGTGCACTTACAATGTATATGTGACCCTGGAGAAAGTAGGTTTTAAGTCGCTGGGGTATATTTGTAGCAATAGCCAAAAATACATTGTATGGGTCAAAATTATTGGTTTTTCTTTTATGCCAAAAATCATTAGGAAATTAGGTAAAGATCATGTTCCATGAAGATATTTTGCAAATTTCCTACTGTAAATATATCAAAACTTATTTTTTGATTAGTAATATGCATTGCTAAGAACTTCATTTGAACAACTTTAAAGATGATTTTCTCAATATTTAGATTTTTTTGCACCCTCAGATTCCAGATTTTCAAATAATTGTATCTCAGCCAAATATTATTATCCTATCATAACAAACCATAAATCAGTGGAAAGCTTATTTATTCAGCTTTGAGATGGTGTATAAATCTAAATGTCAAATAATTGACTCTTATGACTGGTTTTGTGGTCCAGGGTCACATATATGAAATAAATCAGCATAAAAGAATATTGGTCATGGTTTTTGACAGTTATTTCAGATAAAGATAATATTTGTTTATTATATTTAAAATATTTTTTACGCAATTGCTCAAATGCAGATGTGAATCTTGGCCAGTGAGTGTGTTATTGTGGGAGTAACAACCTCAATACTAAACAGAACGTTATTATTATTCAGGTTTCTAGCTGTAAAAATGACTTATATGATTTGACTTGCTCGGCCAGACTCTCTTCAACTCCTGCTTTGACTTGAAGTGGTCATAGAAGTAGTCAGTTAACACATACTCAAAATCGAGCACGCATAGCTAGAAGCATTCATGAACTTGCAGAGTATGTTTCGAGGCTGAGGAAAAAGAGGAAAAGGAAAACAAAGAAAAGTCCCTATTGTTCCATTCTGCTCTCTTTGACATTTCTGGAAAATGTCAAAAGAAAGTACATTTTTATTTTTCAGATGTCACAAATCTCAGCAGATTAAAGAGCTGCTTGCTGGGAAAGGCAGCTGTATAAGGACTCACTTTATGAGAGGGTTGAGCAGGCGTGGGAGTGGGAACTTCTGCCGTCTCTTCAGGGTCTGAAAGGCAGAAATTCATACACTTACCATGCAACAATGCAAAATTATTTTTATGTAGAATATTACATTTTGATTATCAATGAATCATTTGAATCATGCTGTTTACACTTAAGAACTTGCACTACTGTTCAAAGTCTGGGGTCAGTAAGAGTTTTGGAAAAAAATAATACTAATGTGATTATGCTTTCGCCAACCTAGGAAGGCAAAATAATATAGTAATGGGTTTGATGATGTTATGATTTTTGGATCACGTGTCACTATGGTTATGAGTACATCAGATAAGAAAGATTGGTGGGATATTTAACTTGTAGAACCTCTTACTGTATTATCAACACAAGGAAGACACAAGTGTAGTAAAATAACTTTTATTAACAAAAGATAGACAAGAGTAATCAACAACTACTAAATGCATACCATGAATGAAAAGGAATAAAGTGCATAAGATTGAGTTGTGATTCAGTTACGTTATCTTAAGGGAAGATAAACTGAAACTAATAAGGTGAAGAACCTTATTATGCCTCAAACATACAGTATAAATGAAAGATTATTTGTTCTTAACTGATCAGCTATATATAAGATCTAATGTAAATTAGAAAATCATATACTGATAATGTACAACAGCGCGGAGGTCTCTGGAAGAGGTTTGTGATTTCAGGAATCCGTTTTAACAGCCTTGAACACGAAGCGCTGTAGGATGCAAAGTCGCCATTTGGATTTAAATAAGCAAATACTGCAGAGTCTAGGACTGGATCATGTTGTATGAGTCCACTTTACACTGCCTGTCCAAAAAAGTTGTACACTCCAATATTTCATTGGACCGCCTTTAGCTTTTATTATATTGTGCATTCACTGTGGGATTGTTTCGACAACGTTATACAAAATCAGAGCATTTATTTCCATCAAGAGTTGCATTGATTTTTTTGGCTGAGATCTTGTATTGACAATAGGAGTGTCAAAGCGTTCTGTAAAATCGACTCCAGCACATCCTAAAGACTTCCAATAGAGTTAAGCTCAGGACTCTGTGGTGATCAATTCATATGTGAAAATGATTCCTCGTGCTCACTGAACCACTATTTCACAATTTTGGTCCAATGAATCTTGTCATTGTCATCCTGGAATATGCTTGAGAAGTAAAAAGCTATGTACTTCATCAGTTAGGGTAAAAAATAATTGTTGCAAAACATATAACATGCCAGTAACATTAATCACTGCAATAATGATCCAATCTTAGACTCTTCAGTATTTGTTCATTGAAATCCAAACTTTTTTTGGCCAGACAGTGTAGCTTCCTCAGATGATTGGTAAAATACTCACATTTGTCAGTTTTGCTGGGGACCCTGATGATTGTGGGTCTCTTGATCACTCCCAGCATGTTTGGCCCCATGTAGTTGAATCCTACTTGACGGGCAGGTTTAGAGGGAGAGTGATCTGTGAGTGGAATACATTCATATACATTAATAAACAATACCTGTTAAGTGTTTTTTGAATTGTAGTACGGAGAAACATTTGCACTTACTAGTGGGAGCATCTACATAGTTATTGCTAAGCATGTTCTCTGCGAATGTAATGTTAGACAGAAGTGCAGTGGAGTTGTGATTGTTGAGGTTCAGCAGGTCTTTGCTGGGCTTGAGAGGCAGATGAGGTTCTTTCAATACTACTTCCTCATCCTGGGAAAGTACATTCTTAACTCTGATCAGTGAAGATCGCGATGGAGGGATGAGGGCCGCCCTGAAGGAAGGCTGAGAGTTGGAGTCATCTCTTGAGTCTAACGATGGTTTTTTGAAAAGTTGAGGTCTTGGCGCTGGCATCGGTGGCGTGTTGACCTCTTCGTATAAGTGACTGACAAATTGTGAAAGCTGCTCTTCTTTGGGCTTTTTGACAGAGGGTCGGAGGGCAATAGAAGGTTTCGGTGCCAGTGCAGGTGGTTTGGCGAAAACCTTACGAGGACGGGGGAAAGGCATAGAGGTTTCCTCATTCTCTGCGTTTGATTGACTTTCAAAGGCTTGTATTCTTGACCGGATGTTGCGGTCGTTGTGAAGGGAGGTCATGTTCTCACTTTGGTTCTCTTTAGTTTGGTTCGTCTGCTCTCCCTGGATGTTGACACTGTTACTCAGTTCACTTTGAGGTTCCGAGCTGAAGACATCTAAGAGTTCCTGCAGATAATTGCCTGAATGGGCATCAGAAGTCTCCACAGGTGTTACAGGACAAACTTCCCAGCTGTCTTGCAGTGGTATCAGAGGTTGTGCATTGACCTGATTGGATGGGCTCAGGGGTTTCGTTTTGGAGCGTGGCTGAGGCAACGGATGTGTGGTTGAGGCTAGATCGATGGTGGGTTGGGAGTTGGGAGTGGATGTTAGGGATCTGGTTAGAGTTTCTTGTGAAACGGGTTTGCAAGGCAGTGATGGCCAAGGTGTTTCTTTGGCAGCTTCGCTGAAACTGTAAAAGACCAAACAGGAAGGCCTTGTTCAGACTGCTGGCAGAAATCAGATTTTTTGCATATCCAGATATTATCCAGATGGATTTTTTAAAGTCCGAACAGCAAAAAAAACAAATTAAATCGGATTTCATTACAAATGGAGGTGATTTAAAACGCGATTTCAATCAGATTTTTACAGATGTGTCTCAGTCTGGATGCTCTGACTGCTCAAATCAGATATTAAATTGTCTTTTGCGTCACTCTTAACGTGACACTAGGGTTGGAAAACTTCCGAAAACTTTCCATGGGAAGTTAATCTGGGGGAATTTTGGAAATATTGGAAATGAAATAATTCTGGAATCGTAAAAAAAAAATATTACAATTGATGCTCGACAATAGAAATAGGTTTGATGAATAGAGGAACACTCCTGAATCGGCATGCTAAATCAAACTATAACCTACATTCTTGTCTGTTAACAGAAAACTAGCTAGCAAAACGGCATTACAGTTGAGCTAGCACCATGATAGCTCGCATCTTAAAATGTCAATTAAAAGGGTGTTAATTATCTTACATTTAGCATATCTGATTTACTGGCTAGCTCGCTGCTGTATAAACACATTTTGATTTGATTTTAATACAATAGATCAAATATATTTACCCTAGTAATATCATCAAAACTTCCTTGACTGCTCAAATCCCGTAGTGTGACTTCAATAGTCCTGCAGATTCTAGAAATAATCCATGCATGTGATTGAGGAATGTGCAGGATAGAAATTCTACTGAATTTGCAGTAAATTACTATGCTGCAAGATGGGTTTTTTAAAACTACATTTAAATTCCCTATTATAGGCTAACCTGTAATTTTGCAAATGTCCAGTTTATTCCCATACATTCCCATTAATTCCCGTGGAAAGTTTTCAACTTGAAGTGAAAATTCCCAGAATCTGCAAATACACACAACGATAATGTCACGTTTGACGGAAATGCCAGAAGTATTCATAACAGTATTCAAACAAAGCTGTGATTACAGCACAGAACATCACAACATATACCAGAATCCTCCATTACTCTAGTTTTTCTTGTGCAACAAAGGAGTTCTTCACCGCAACTCTACAGCTGCTTATTTGGAGAGCGAGATGATGCACCTCCATTTTTCCTGCATCTGCTTTGAAAGCCTCATCAAAAACGTGGGTAAACTTGCGTCGTAACCAAAGCAACCCAAGCTGCTTTTGTCTGGACACAAATCTGATGCAATTATTAGTGCAAGGCAATCACTCGAACACAAGCATCAAACCAAGCAAACACGTCACAAGTGTGCAGGACACATACAGTGCTAGAGAACAGAACATGGAAAAAAGTAGGGATGCACAAAATACAGGTAACATATCAGTATCTATATGTGACCCTGGAGCACAAAACCAGTCATAAGGGTCCATTTTTCGAAATTGAGATTTATACATCATCTGAAAGCTGAATAAATAAGCTTTCATTGATGTATGGTTTGTTATGATAGGACAATATTTGGCCGAACTACAACTAATTGTAATCTGGAATCTGAGGGTGCAAAAAAAAAAATCTAAATATTGAGAAAATCATCTTTAAAGTTGTCCAAATGAAGTTCTTAGCAATGCATATTACTAATCAAAAATTAAGTTTTGATATATTTACGGTAGGTCATTTACAAAATGTCTTCATGGAACATGATCTTTACTTAATATCCTAATGATTTTTGGCATAAAAGAAAAATCTATAATTTTGACCCATACAATGTATTGTTGGCTATTGCTACAAATATACCCCAGCGATTTTTATTTATCAATATTGGATATTATCATACTGCACATTGAAATGTTGTGATATTTACTTCAGCATACAGTACAAACTATTATTTGCAGCTTTTAGTGTGTTTTTGATTTGCTTATAGACAGTAGAAAATATTTAGAATATTTTATCAATATTTATCGGTTTTCAGCCATAACATGAAAATAATTATTAGCTTATCAATATCTCAAAATATTTCTAATATAATGACATTTTAAAAATGCCCTGGAATTCTGACTGAATTGTCCTTATACAACAATTTTTATATTTTAAAATAAGCAGATATCTGCCAGTTCTATTTGAGTATTATTTATATACTACTGTATACTATTATGTATATATATATATATATATATAGTGTATATTTGTTATGTATATATAAATACACACACATGCATGTATATATTTAAGAAAAATATTTTTTTTAATATTTAAAATATTAATATTTATATATAATATAAATTATATTTTAATATAAATATATATATATATATATATATATATATATATATATATATGTATGTGTGTGTATTTATATATACATGATATATATACACAGTACACACATATATTTTGTAAACAAAACTTTTATTTTGGATGCAATTATCGCGATTAATCGTTTGACAGCACTAATTGTTTTAATCTTGTCCCACTTTCAAACTTAAAATCTGAAAATCCATCATAAAGGTATCAATTTTTATATTAAAGGGGTCATGAACTGAGAAATCAAAATTCCCTTACTTTTTTGACATATGAGAGGTCATTGTATTATAAAAAAATATCCTGTAAGTTTCAGAACTCAAAACTTTCTCATTAGTCTAAAAACAGCTTATATTGAAGCCAATCTGCCAAAACGACTGGTTGTGGAATGTGCCACTTTATGATGTAATAGTGTGGCTAAGCCCCGCCTCCGCAGAAGAAGATCAACGCCTGCTTCTACATCACTGCCTGTTAAGCTCCGCCCACCGATTCATGCATATAGTGTAAATAACGAGAGGCAAACACAGGTCTACGCAGAAACCAAACGATAAAGATGCTCCGAAGACAACAAGACCCTGTGCAGTGCTGAGTATTTATGCATTTTTAATCTAAGTCACAGCAGCGTCCATCTATGAAGGGTGTTGCTGTCAAACACACACAACTGTTAGCCAATCACAGCAGTGGGCGTTTACTTCCGAGTCTACAATCAGCCACGCCTATTCAAACAGAGCGTTCAGATGAAAAAGGACAGAAAATAGCCTATTCCTTCTAAATGATGTTTTTTGATGTAAACATCTTGATAACATTATAAGACTATATATATAACATTATTATACCTAATAAAGTTTCTGTATTTGGTTACCATCAGTCAAGAGCAAAAATGCCTATAGCCGTGTTCCAACATCCCAGAAAAGCGCCTCACTATTATTTTAAAGTTAAATGTTCAACAAGCACATATGAATGTAGTGTTCGAGTGTCCATATACTTTTGGTCTTGCAATGCATACTGTAAGAGGTCAAAATTTAATTTGTAAACCTCAATGGCTGGTTCATTTTTGACAGTGTTTTTACACAATTTTACGCTGATGCTGAACAGTCAAAGATATGTAGCATCAAACTACACAAGATTTCAGAGTTGTTGAATAAGATTGATTCACATGACTCAAATATAGACTAGAGCCTCAAGCATTATATAATCAGCAAAACAACTCGATTACAGTTGTAACTTCTAGCTGCTGATAACAAAAGAATCTTTTTCATGTTCACTTAATTTATTTACATTAGGGCTGCCAAATCAATGAATCGCGATTAATCGCATTCAAAATAAAAGTTATGTGTTTATATATACATATTTGGATGCGATTAATCACGATTAATCGATTTGACAGCCCTGATTTACATATTATCTGAAGTACTCAAATGGTGTGTGAGGATATTGTGTTTCCATCTTACCTTATATGTAAGTGTTCTGGTTTATTTCTTTCTGAGCGGTCTGCAAAACACAAAGCATAAAGCATGAGCTAAATTCTTTGTAGCACAATTTTATTTAACTTTCTACATTTGCTACATTCAGCTTCTAAATCCTGAATCACAGCTGGCAGCAGTGACGCTCTGTTTAGCTGGTTAAACAGTGCGGTGCATTCCTGATCAGCCTGTTTTAAAGAACAGAGCTTAAGGAGAGAACTAGAAGCTACAATGACAACAAACACAGTTTTTCATGAAATGTCGCTCAGCATTCACATCACTCAGGTCCAGTCGAACAGCTCTTACAGCAGGTTTCTGGTTTCACAGGATTCATTTGTGTCTCTCTTTCACTTTTGAACACATTTTCAGCATATTTAAACCTTTAACTTAGTTAAACTACAAAGCTTGCAGAACAAGATCAGCATGTTTCACTACACAAAAATAACATCCTTGTTTCTCCCGACAGCATCAGGCATTCATGGAAAATGTTTAACTTTCCTCAGGTAATGAAAGTGAATTCATAAAACAATGACGGCGTTGGCAAAGGGGTCTTTGTGTGTCTTTGTTGCAGTTGTCTACTGACCTATCACTGTCCTCAGACACACCTGCTGGGTCCAGTTTCTGCTCTCACTGTATGAGAAAGTGAAATAACCCACCTCACTCATAATAGCATTTGTGTTTTGAGTTTGCTAAATTATTATCATTTAAATCACTGTATTATTAAAAGATAAATAATACATTTAGCTGCAAAACAAGACACATTACTTATTAAGGATATTATTGGAAATATATAGTCCTACCTGCATATCAGAGAGCACAGTAAGCGGACTCATTCCCTGCCTTCTGATTCAAATGTGTGCGAGAGAAAGCACAACTCCTGGTAAAAGTGACGTCTCTTTTTTTCATTAGGTATGTTGACAAAGTTAGGGTGCCATGCAGGAATGCGGTCAATCAGGAAGTATGTCTTTTCTGACATCAGTGAACCAAAACAATGGTTAACCAAACATGTAAAAACATCACAGATTTTCCCTATCGGTACACATGCCCACCTTAATCATGTGAGAGGTTCATTGTTTTAAAGAATTACATCCTGATATTGCACTACACCATCAGCTTTATCACTGTTACTGCTCCAGGAAGATGGTGCGGTTTTGTACTGATAATGCGATAGAAACTATTACAAGAGAAGATACCCTATGTTCCCTATGGAAATTCTGGTCATGACAAAAATCAGGCCTGACATGCTGAAAACTGACTGGTGGTGCTAATTTATACTGCAATAAGCAAAAATAAATAGTAAAAATAGATGACAAACTCCATTCAAATGTTGGTTATGTATTTTTGACTGGTTCTAAAAATAGTCTTAACCGGTTCTTAAAAAATGCTACTAAACAAGTACAGCAACTGAAATACATATCCTTTATGCATTATAGCTTTAAGCTTATGCCTATCTATCTATCTATCTATCTATCTGCAAATGCTATGAGAATTTGAGTATTTGTGACCCTGCCTGTGAAAACCCAGCTAAAGTCTTTTTTTTTGTGATTTACTGTTTTCTACATAAAATCATCCTTCATAAAGATGTAGAACAGCATTCACATCACTCAGGTCCAGTCGAACAGCTCTTACAGCAGGTTTCTGGTTTCACAGGATTCATTTGTGTCTCTCTTTCACTTTTGAACACATTTTCAGCATATTTAAACCTTTAACTTAGTTAAACTACAAAGCTTGCAGAACAAGATCAGCATGTTTCACTAC